ACGGCAGGTAATAGGTGAAAATAGAATACGTTAATCGTTCGAAAATAGAACTCTGTGGAACTCCCGAGGTGGTCGAACTTGACAGACTTCAGCACAGAAATTTCCCTCGTCTATGTGGTTCTCCAACCATGAGAATCGGGCCAATAGCGCCTTCCTGAACGGTTTCGTGAGGGAGAACATCATGCTGGACGCTGCCAAACTCCTTTGTGGTACGAAGGTCACATGGACTGGAATAACCATATCCCCGCGCGGTGTCCAGTCACTCCATGCTAACAGGATAAACGTCTCCTGAAACTGTGCTGTGCCTCATGGATTGTGTCGTTCCAGTGACGTCGTTACCTCCATGATGGTTAAGATTTTATTTTGATAAATCACACAGTGTTGTACAATTATATTAACTGATGACGTTTCGAGCACAAACTATTGCTCATAATAATATCAAGTTGATATGATTATGAGCGTCAATAGTTTGTGCTCGAAACGTCATCAGTTAATATAACTGTACTACACTGTGTGATTTATCAAAATAAAATCTTATCCATTATGGAATTATACTCTACCACAGTGCCCAAGTTTTATACTTATATCAATAAGACGTCGTTACCTGTTGTGGCAGTTAGTCAAGATTTCCAACACACTCATTACCACTGAGAGTAGTGGTATAATCCACTGTGCCTCGTCACTTTCCAACCTTGAGGACTGGGGTAAGTATAGCTGTCTTCCACTGCTTTTACAGTTTTCCTGAGTATATGGAGTGTTGCAGCAGGTTATGTAGGACCCTAGGGAGAGCTTTATCACACTTTCAGAACGAATGGTCCAGTACTGTTAGAATTTAAGGAATTTTCTGTTGTGAGTTTTAGCCGTTTCACAGAGAACTTTGTTTGGTTAATCAAAAGTTTGCCCAGAGAGTTTCAGTTTGGTAATATTCACACAGTTTTTTGTCTGCTTGCCTAAAGCCAAACTGAATGATTCAGCCATTCCAACATTAGCCATTTTGATTCAAAATGCGTGCCCTTTGGTCAGTAGGCTTCCTTTCCTTTATTGGTCAGCATTAGCTCCTAGGGCTTGCCAGGGGTTTTCTGGCAAGATTTTTCTGAAAACCATCTTATCTCTCCTGATCTTTCCGTTGTATTGCTTCATAGCTTACAAGTGCATCCACTGGTCACTCTTATTCCTGGAGAGTCGCCATTTATGCTAGGCTTTAAGCTTGGCTTGAAGAGTACGCTTCATTCCTCTCTCTAGCATTGAAAAATGCTTCCTGTTGTTAATGTCACTAGAGGGGCAGTGTTTGAGATCGCTTTGTGAGTAATCGCTTCAATGTATTTAGATCTTCATCTATTATTAATTCAGTCCAGTTTGGAGGCCTTTTTGCATTAGATAAAAGTTTTCGCACTTTGGCATATTTGGCACTACAACAGCACGGGCAGGCCTGCACAGTATCTCACTTCATGTGAATGCAAAGAACCAAATCAAACACTACGACCACATAGTCATTACTATCTAGACGAATCTTGACCTGAACGTTTTCTACTGGTAGATAGTCACCAGTTTTGACAATTTTCCGCTAAGGCCATGCCTAACGTCAAGGGATAAAGCACTGAATCGTCCAGCTGTAATGATGTTCTCTGCATGGTAGTGCTGAGCAGCAGCCAATTGTATTCCGCACTGCATGAGGGGGGTCAATCGATTCCATCAATTAAGATGCTTCGAAAGTGGAATCATATCCCACCACAGCTCTGAAATTGCATCCCTGAGCCTTTAAACGGTGTAGTTATGGGCTAGGTAATATCAATGCAACCATGATCCCACACGTAGTCTGTCCGTTTTATGGATTCATCTACAATCAAAGAAGTATATCAAATATGGTAGTTGTTGAATCCATTGATAGGCTATAATTTACTCAAATTGTTGCTTATACCATATTCTTTATTCTTATGCAGGTAAGAAAGTTTGGTTGCTGTATTCGACCGTAGCTTGTATCATTTATCTGGATTCATGCCCTTGTAAAACACCCACCATTTGTCCAGACTTTTAGTTCTTTGTGTTTGGATGTCAGATAACCGTGACAATGAAGAATAATTTTGTGGAATCGCCAAAGTTTCGGTTTTAATGAAGCTCTGTGGTTTTAGTACGGAGTTCGTGTTTTAGTTACCGGTCTTTTCCATCAAAACTATTGGTGTCTAGTTAATGTAACTTTTCTCCTAAGTTTCTGCAAATATTTCTTTGCAGTTGGAACATACTTCATATGCTTATGTGAGTGTGTAACATTTGAATTACCCAAACTTTTTTCCTTATGTTCCAGCTAAATATTTGTTTTCTAAGTGGGCTCATGAAAAATAATAAATAAACTTTGATATAAAGTCACCATGGCAAGGCGTATTCATTCATAATAAGTTTGTTACTTGAAAGACATTTTCAGCTGAGCTAACTACCACCTTTCCTATATAAGTAACTGACCATTATCATTATTCAGTTTGTAGACGTTTATCAGAGCCATTTTTAGTTAAGTGGCTAACCTGTAGTGAAGGTGACTGCCAGTGTTACCATTCGTAAGTTTTGCCTATCCAGCCACAAGGCTTGTAACTATCGAGTGTACACTCATGTCACGATATTTGGGCAGTTATGCTAAAAGTGACCCACGACAACACTTATTAAGCCACTTGCTGCTTTTTCTGATAGCAAACAACGTAATTAAAACGTTCAGTTTTGCATCAAAAGGTAAACATTCAGAAAAAATAGAAGTTTAGGATGGTTTCTAGGGAAAAATTTATCGACCTGTCCAACCTAGTTAAAGATGAAGACGGAACACTCAGACGGTTAATGTTAACCATTAACAAATTTCTTCAGAGTTTTTTCGAAAGCGTAGTTATTAAAATAAAATTTAGAATTTCTGAAGCATCTAGAGGCCAATCAGGTGTCCACTTTAGTAACAGTTAGCTATTTCAGTATATTTAATTTATTTCAGTCCTAAGTGAAATCAAATATTACGAATGGACATTAGGTTGCCATGTATGTTCAGATGTTTTCAAAGATACTGCGAAGAGATTTTCCATTTCGTTTCCGATTTTATGTGTGTGTGCTCCTCTACAGTATGACATTGGATTGTAACAAGGTTTTACATTGATAGTTTAGAGGCTGATGGTATTGACGTTCACAGATTGTATGAAGTATACTGACGCAATATCTAATACCCACAATTCCCGTAGTATTCGTTCCACGTAGACTAAAGGCGAAGCAAACCACCAGAATTAACCGTACTAACTACGAGATATATTTCGGGACCAAATCGGAGTGCGAGATGATTACTTATCTAGTTAGGGATCGTGCACGAACGAACGAACGTGACACCACGGCGTACCAAATGGCGTGGATGCTTGACCGGAAGCCTTCAGCTAAACAAGTTGACTTAAGCAGTAAGGGTCAGCATCCAATGATGAATACTGTGGCCAATAATTTTGGGGAATTTTTTCCACCACATTATTGTGAGCACCCCATTCACACTAACTCCTTGACACCAACAGCATCTGAGCATTATCGGCAGTAAAAGGATGAGAAGACGCTGCTTTAGCCGACAGTACGTCTTTGTCTTTTGTAATATGCATGAGGGAATTTATCTGTTATCATAAGTCAGTAGTATTTAAATATATTTATTAAATATATATATATATATATGTATGTATAATATAGCATATGAATATAACATAGAGGTAAGAATTTTGTTTTCAACACAATCGATAAATGATAAATAAATAAATAAGGAAGAACTCAGTGGATAAATAGTTGTGCCATTCGAAAAGATTTCATAAAAAAGCTATAAATTCAAGCAATAAATTTAAATAATATACTATTTCTTCTAAAACTTACGTCAGTCTGTGAGTTTTTGTAACAGAAACAAAATGCGTAGAGATCAGAGAAACTCCACAACTTATGTTTGAATTAAAGCAGGGAAGGAGGAGGACGGAGTAAGAGAGATAGAAAATAGATAGGGAAATTAGGCGTTTTCTTCAACTCACATGGTTTAGCAAACAATTTGTGTTATATTATATTTTTGTGGCAGAGAATAAAGTTAAAGATCGTTGTATACTTCAGTAGGATTTAAAAAGAAACCGAGAGAAGAGAAATAAATATGGGGCTAGTGTGGTGGTTGCAACATACTTAGAACATTAATGATAATAATATGTTCATAATACTAGTCATAGTCATAAACACATTTGAGAAATAAAAAGTATTAGAAACTCAATGAATTGTTTACGCAAAGCGACATGTTAGAAGTTTTTCTCAGACCAAGAGTACAGTGGAGAAGTTCCATCCACAAGGATGTTAGAAAATATGTTCAAGAGTGTGAAACTTTAGAGAATGGTATTAAAATTAGTGAAAATGTGATAGGTGGATAGATGTTAGTTAGATTATAACAATGAAGAGGAAATTAAATAATTGTTGAGAAGATAGAAACTTGCCACAAAATAGAGAAACACTTCAGTATATGAAAAGAACAGGAGATTAAATTTAGTTGACCAACTAAATGTATAGTTAAGATGTTTGTCTCTTAAGCGACAAATAAAAATGAAGGAGTATTTTTATTGTTGTGCTTTTATTAGACCTGTACTTGCATACATGTATATGTGTGTAAGTGTTTTTGTTATTTGTTTCAGATGAAAACATGAAAATTGGAAATAACTGAACTTACATAACATAAACTCCAGTTGCCTTTATTTAGTATAAGCATTTAGCATGAACGATATTAGAAAAAAAGTCGAAACGATAACAACTCAACTATTGACCAAATGGATATCGTTAGCGTTAACTTCATGCACATTTGAATTTGGCGATAACAAAATAAACGTTGAAATGAAACGCTTAAACAAGAAAAGAAACCAGTTCTCCTTCCGATAAAGTCTGAAATATATTTGTCAAAGAAATATAACATATTTCTATATTTCCGAATATATATGTATGATATAAAGGAGTTGCTTGTGGCTTGTTTTACTTTCTTGTTTACTTTATGTTAAATAAATATCAGTGAAGTATAGAATCTTCTAAAAAGGAAGATTATTTCACAAAGCTAAGAAAACAGAACACAAAAGTGATTTCAAAATGTAAACGAATAACAATGAAACTTGTAAATTTGGTTAAGTTAATCTCTTACAGAAGGGAATACAGAATTCACATATCTGGTTAGCTGGGCTGCTGAATGATTGTGATTTACTTCACAGAACACATAAACCACATTTTCATGTAACCAAAAGCGTTGCTTACGGGCCACCAAAGCAAATAACCTGGCGGAAAATAAAATAAAGGAAATCCGGGATGAGTACAAACCAAGTTTATAAACATTAAATGTGAAAATAGTTGGAGGTTATGCAATTTTTAATGGTAATGGTTCATCTGTCATCGTGTGAGTCAAGGGGAATTCAAGAAATGATACAAAATATAGGTCAAAAGGAGTATACAAATGAAAAAATGACTGATTTGAAACGTTGAGTAATGAAATACTCCTCTCATTTTGCACTAGTTTGAATAGTATGACCGACTTAGTTGTTGCGTGAATGGATTTAACTTACCCAAGTCTTCTGAGGGTCAACTATAGTTATAAATGCTGGGTCTGAACTTCCTTGCATTTCAGAAGAGATAAGCAACGGGTGCTTTCCACGGATCTTTGCACATTTAAGGGAGCTTCAGTCTTTGTAGCCTGCACTGTATATACAAATTAGTTATATGCCCGTGGTTGACATTTGCAAAGGTTGAACAAGTCGTTCATCTTTTATCATAAGTAGCCTCTAGGGGGCCTATTATCATATGACTGCAAGGATTCTGAGACACTTTATGACTCATTTGTGGATGACTTTAATGATTGTTTTCTGGTCACCTGTCCTAACTGACTTTCGATTAGGCCACACAATATCCTGACTGCATAGATTGGGAAGTTCCAGCATGATGACCCGGCTATCCTCTGGAATTGAAAAATTGTTAAATGGAGATCATCATACTTGCGTCCTTACAGGGGTACATTTGTGTAGGCGAAATTGTGAGAACCAGTGGGGATGTACAACCACAGGACAGTGCGATCCCCATTCCTTTATTACTTGAAACATCATTCATCTGAAATCATTTTTGCACTTAGGTGGTAGAGAGATGAAAGCTGAATACACTATTTCTACATGTGTAAAAAGACATTGCCGATATTATTTCATCGGCTTTCCCTTATAACTGTCATTGCAAATTTGAATAACTGTGAATATGCTTGCTGCTTTAGTGTACATATTTGTATATTATTTAATATAATGATGATGCCTGTAAACTGTTTTCACTAATATAAAATGAGAATATGTTATTAATCATTACTCCGGTTTCCGATTGGAACATAGGGCTTCAGCAGAACATCTCCATTTCATCCGGTTTTCTACAGCCCTAGTAAGCTGGCTCCACGATTTTACATAGGCTCTAACCTCCCCCTCGAGCGATCTTATCCACTCCTTCCTTGAACCCACAACGAACTCGCCATTTCTTATTCAGGCCTGGTGGACGATATCACTCAACACTCCTCTCAGCGTGTGCCTAATCAATATCCATCCCCTCCAAAATTTCTGTTGGGCAAAAGGTTCTTGTTTGGTTCATTTTCAGACTTCTTTGTTGCTAATCACTTCTAGACATCTGATCTGACGGTAGCCATCGACGGAAGACTGCAGCGCATTGGAAGTGGTCTTGGTTACATGGGCTTCATGCCTCTGGACTATACGATGGCACCAAGTTGACATTAGCGGTGAAAACCTGGATTTCGTCTCTTATGTTGAGTACAGTAGATTTCCAAACCGATTTCAGAGTATTGAATGCCTGTCCTGCTTTGGCGATCTTGCCTTTGATGTCCTTATTCATACCAGCTGCCTGTAGCTGACGCGATGCTGCCCAAATGAGTGAATTTGGTGGCTCCCCTCAAAATTTTTCCTTTGATTATGACTAATGCTTGTTGTTGGTGGTGGCTGGTTATCTTCATCGCCTCTGTCTTGTTTGTGTTCATTTGAAGTCCTGTCTTCGCTGTTCCTTCCATCAACCCACTGGTTCTCGCCTGTAGGTCTTCAATTTTGTGTGGCATTAAACAGAAGTCATCCGAAATGTTCAGTTCTATTTTACAGCCTTCTTATCGGTCCGATGTAGTCCTGTCTTTCCGATTACCACGATCTTCTGAATGATCTCATATGCCGAAATCAGGAATGCCAGCGGCCATAGGAAGTAGCTGCGTCTTACCCCTCTATTCACTTGAAAAGCTTGACATGTGATATCATCATGCTGTAGTTAGTGAATGAATTTGATGGAGGTGTGGGGCACTCTGCAGTGTAGAAGTTACCAAATGACTTCACAGTCAATCTTATTGAAGGCCTTCTCAAAGTAGATGAAGTTAAGTTGGAGATTTGACTGCATTTCTACGCTTTGTTTGATTAAATAAAATAAATCATTTGAAGCAACAATGTTTTCATGAGTTTCTTTAGCTCTCCACAAGCTTAAATATCGAGCTATATAATTAAAGGCACCGGTGAAGCCAGTTGCTCTTTTTAAGATAACTCTAGAATTTTATGGAAAGGAGGCAGCAAAATCAATAAACCATTCAGTTATTTTAACGAATATATATTCTATTACACAGCTTCACTAAATTACCATTTAGGTTTTATGCACAAGACAAGAAAATATGGTTGAATAGATAGAGATTTCGTTAACTGCGCACACTGGCGACATTATAAATTCTTTACTTTATACTGGGTGTATTTGTGCACTGATAACATATGGAATCTTGAATAGTGTCTTATTCAATAAGAAGCTTTTTATATCACAAGTTAATTTTTCTTATTTATTTGTCTTCATTACACATGTACAACAACAGCTTAAACCACATTCCCAACACCTAAAATTAATTGTTGCTTTTGCTGTTACATGCAGCAGGATTCGAAGCAGCGGTCTCCCAATGACTAGTCTGGCACTGAACTAGATGAGCTAAGAAGCTCAATGGTGCGTCAGGTCATTATTCCATCACATTCACCAGGGATAATACCTGGTTACCGCATGAATTAGTGATACGTAGTTGTGTGTATATCGTATCACGCTAATTGTCCAACTACGCCTTCACCTGTCAACCCTAACCGAAGGATTTATCAGATAGTCTCGTTATCAGATTGTGCTTCCGTAAAGTTAGAAATTGCCCAATTAATCCTATGACATTGATTATTGTTTGTTTAGTATCTCCTCGGATAATATTAGCCTGTGATTCAGGAACATAATTCAGTTTATATGCAATCGTAGGGGATCAAAGCAGCTCATCCACTCGAATGAATCTCAGCCATTTTCTTCCACTGGTCAGTTTATCTATCTGTGCTGATTGCATCAGGTTGTGGACAGTTGGGGTTTCAAAGAAAAAAGGGGGCGGCTGTTGCACTGCAGTGTGATTCTGAGTCTCTATACTATCTTTACACCATCATTAATACATACATAATTGGTCAGCCGTAAGTTCCATATTCTCGCTTTATTAGCTGAGGTAGTGTTAAGAGGTGCGCCTGGTTAGAGGGGCCAGGTCAAAGAGTCTAGCAGAACAGATGACCGCATAAAAATGGTGACCTTTTTATCTGACTGAAACCAGCCTGAAACAACCTTCGAGTCGTTCAAGCAACGTGACTAACTGGCTTCCTAGACAGTAACCATCGTTAACTAGCATACACCTTTAGTAAATGATGTGGTCCGAAGGCTGAAAAAATTTCCTCTGGCCAGTTATACTTTGATTTGTTTCGACGATGGACTTATGATAATCTGGTTGACATTTGGATCTAATAACTGAGCCGGCCGAGTGATGAACCGGTCATTAGGTAGCCACTGGTTCGAATTCTGCAGACCTTACCCAAATCCCAACTTCACCTTTAACCGTAGCCTAACAGGTCATTAACATTTATGTAGCCCACGAATATCTCCGATAGTCACGTCACCAATTAACGGGCTGCTGGGTTTCTCCCCACTTCGTTTTATTAGGAGTGACAGGAGGAGACTTAGCCGGGTAGCTAGTGTGACGATAGATGGATGCATCATCCATCCGTATGATACAAGGGAATTATGCGTGGTGATTCAGGTGAAACGGTGATCAGGTTAGTATTTTCATTTCATAGTTCAGCTATCAGCGCCCCGAACTGACGGTTCTGAGGCCACTGGTTTGAGTTCTGAAGCAAACTAGACTTGCATTTCGCCTTCCAATTCATTCACAGTTTAATGTGTACACCTCATCACATTCACCAGACAGACTAAGCAATTGTAATATGGATTATATTTGCAAATGCATACATTTATATGACTTTTATGAAGCATCAGATGGTATTCTGTATCGTCAGAACATTATCTGATATTTCGCGTGGGTAGGTTCATAGTCCTTACATATATACATGATTAGTAATAGAGTACAACAAACAAAAACGAACCGGAGGCTGACTTACTTTGCACCATACATTCCTTTAGATCGTAGTTCTACGTCATTAAATCTACAAAGAAAATGTATACAGATGAAATTCAAATTCACATGAAATATTTGAAAATATCATCAGAATTACTATTGTATTTTAATTTCAATCATTCACAATTTTTAAAAATAATCTATTGTATGAGTTAAACAGAATGATTAGTAGGCTAGTTCTGTGCGTTAAACGAGTTCTGTCTATCAAACCTTCAGATAGTATAGAGACATTGACCTAAGAAACCTGTCAGCAGGATTCACTTCGATTGATATCACATGACTGGAAGAAGTCACTCAATACGCAAAAGTACACTTTGAGATTGTTGATAACAGTCAGAGAGGTGTTCGTGTAACATTTTGGAACTAGGTGTAAGGTGGATTTCTTCGGAAGGCATCCGTGAAATCAAGAGATATCGTAGTCAGGATTGTCAGGTTGTGAGGTGAAAATGTCAACATCCAAGTGATTCTACTAGGGTAATCTGAAGCTGTCTTACTCTGGACTGGAGTTGCATACGTGGCCCTGGCCAGTAGTGTATGATATCTGAATTAGGATGTAACGCATGAACTATGAAAGGCATGCCGTTTATAAGTGATAATTTCGGAATGTTTCACTGCTTTTGTTACAAAGAAATGAACCAGTCAGAGGATTGATAGTGAATAATAGTAGCTAAGCGATGTCTAAAATTGAAAAAATTTGGATTGAAAGAGATGACTGTCATAGGTGAGCATGATAAAGTAATCTTAAACAGTCCTCTATTCGTGCTGAATTTATTGCTAGAATTCACTGAAACAGAAAGCACCGTAACTACAAAAGGTGAGGTATAATTCGGTTGGTGGTGGTGGATGTCAAGAGAACCAAAAGCGTCCATTTCATCCAATTTGGAACTTGTCATTTGGGCAGGTCTTCATCCTGGTGAGATGACTAATAAACTCGTGGGGAAATCTAAAAGCTCGCTCACTTCATGAAATTGACGTATGCGCTGAAGATGTTACCTAGTAGGGGAAAATGAAAGTTTCGCAAATAAATAAACCATCCAGCTGCTCAGAGAACACACCTACATCAAAATCATCCACCTGAGCTACAAATCTTCTCCATAACATCTAAAATTTTACATTCTTTGGAAGTTTCAGGGATATGGATCAGACAATTATGTTTTCATATTGAAAGGCGAAAATTCCCGCGTAAAAGGGTTCATGAACACTATCCCGCATAGCTGCATAAACATAGTAGTGGCTCTATTAAAGAGTGCGATAATCTAGCACTTTGTCAACACTGGTAATTCCATCGCGAAAAATACCTTCTTCAAAGTAATCTACAAAGTGAAGAATAATCTGCCCAAGGCAATACACCTTGATCTCCTTTGCACTGCTGAAGCCCTAGTCATTCAGTCAGAAAAACCAAAGGAAAGGAAAATTCTTCAACCACTTCTACTATCATGGTGACAACCTTGTTGATTTTCACTGACTTATTATTATTGTTTCCTTTAATTCCTAGAGGAACATAGGGTTTCACCCGTGCGTCTCCATTGCGTTCGGTTCTCTGCTAGAATCTTCACTTGGCTCCAAGTCTGCCCATACGTTTTCATCTCCTCTTCACATGACCTCCTCCAAGTCACCCTTGCACTGACGACCAACTCGCCGCTTCCCATTCGAGTTCCACTCGAGCAATGGCTTGTCTAGTGATGTCACTCACTTGATGGTTTCCTCAGAGTATGGCCAATCCATCTCCATTTATTCCTGCCAATTTGTTTCACAATCGCTTCCTGATTGGTTCGCTCCCAGAGATCTCTGTTGCTGACCTTGTAGTGACCCGTTTTATTACTCATCATCGCAGTATACTTTCATTGTGTAATTGTACTTTGATTTGTTTATTACTCTAAATCTTGCATGTTAACAATTGATACCTTTTGTACTCGCTCGATTTTTGAAATTTGGATTGCTGCAATAATACACTATCGTATTCCTTCGCAAGTGCCTTTTGAATTACGTTGCGGATGTCGAGTAATCGCAACGTTAGGTCACAATTATAAACGCGAAGAAATACTAGAAGATACGTGTACTCTAGTTCAGTCAAAATATAGCAGCAACAAATTGGTGAGCCCGACAGAGCTGATTGATGGACTACATCATTTCGAAGTATACACAGTGGAATAAATCATCTTTGCCATCGCATTGACTTTTGTAACTTCATAACATTTGGATGTATAATTACCGATATTTCTGCTAAAAGTACCTCCGGACCTGGCGGCACAGCGACTGCTATCCCAGTTCACCCTGATACTCAAGCAACTGTAGCAGCTGGCTGTTATGCAACACCTCAATTCCAGTTCTCTGTCCTCAAGCTGCAGCATTGTCTACAGGTGTGCAAACACTCTTACAATGGTCTGCAACTCCATTTACTCAAGCCGGTCCTACAGCTGTTCAATTACAACAGTTTACCCAATCACCTCAACAACAACAGATTCAAGCACAAGCTCGTCAGTTACGACCAGCTCAACAGCAAGCTTATATCCAACAACATCAGCAACAAGCAACAATGATGGCAACTGACGTCTCTGTCAGTGGTCAACCTGGTACTGTAGCTGCACACTCCTATGCTACTCCCCAGTTTATCACTCTGGCACCAGGAGCTCCATTAAAAGTCATGACTGTTGGTCCTAACGGTCAGTTGATTCAAATCACTAGTTTACCCCAGTTTATGCCAACTGCTTCTGTTGGAATGGCTATCAATCAACCAACTTCTACTCTCCAACCTCAGCGAACATCAATTCAAGTTACTCCTCAACGCCGAGTAACAACAACCCAGCAACGACAACAACATGCTGACGGACGTTCAATTTCAACCGTATCAGCAGCTACTGCTGCACTCTTCTCTGGCACAGCCATCTCTTCTTGTACAATTCCACTTGTACAACCAGCTTTCATGGAAATAGAGGTAACTGAATGTTTACCCAATTCATTTCCATACTACCTTATTACGGTACTATTAACTGCATGTAAGATATAAATCTATTCTGTAACTCCTTACAATAACAACCCCATTATTATTCTAATAATTTTTCTGGATTTATTGTTACATTTTGCACAACTTTCTAAACATTTTGGTTCGTTTCGAAGTTGTTAACATTTTTGCATATATACAGTTATATTATCAAACCTCAAAAACTTAATATCCTCAATTCGGTTTTCATACCAGAAACTCGTATATATTTTTTCTGTAATTGTAATTTACAATATCATTCCGAATACAGGTAAACTTCATTTACCTGCATTCTACGGAGGGGCTATTGTAGTGACCCGTTTTATTACTCATCATCGCAGTATACTTTCATTGTGTAATTGTACTTTGATTTGTTTATTACTCTAAATCTTGCATGTTAACAATTGATACCTTTTGTACTCGCTCGATTTTTGAAATTTGGATTGCTGCAATAATACACTATCGTATTCCTTCGCAAGTGCCTTTTGAATTACGTTGCGGATGTCGAGTAATCGCAACGTTAGGTCACAATTATAAACGCGAAGAAATACTAGAAGATACGTGTACTCTAGTTCAGTCAAAATATAGCAGCAGCAACAACCTTTTCTCGCCAGCCATCTGATCTTGAGTATTGAGCGAAGACAACTGTTAATGAAGGTTTGTAGTTTGTTTGAGATGCTCTTTATGACGCGCTGGTCAAGTCTCTGATCCGTATAGTAAGTAGTACTGACTTCACATTGGAGTTGAAAATCCGGATCTTATTTTTGATGCTGAGTGCTTTTGACCTCCATACAGACTTGAGAGTGGTGAAAGCTTGTCTTGCTTTGATTTCTGTCTATTTGTTTGTTTATCGAACTCCTTATAACTCTTGTATTTCTTCAGAAGTCTTACATAATTCCATATTCTCCCTCCCTCCCTCCCTCTCATGTGCATCCTAGTTATAACTCGCTCATTAAATTATCCATTTTATTACGTAACTGTAATACATTTATTCAACTCATTTTGTGTATTGATTAATATTAAGGATCATGTCTGTGACAACTCATAATCACCTTTGTTACTACCCTCTTTCATAAAAAAGAGATTGTATGCAAATGCGATTGTACAGCTGCAGAAGAGAATGAATTCACGCAATTACTTCTTTTGTTTTTATTGATGTCTGAATAAAGATTATTCATGAAATCCATTTTTATCTGCTGTTCTATTTGTTTGAAATATCTGACTCTGTCACCTGACTATAGTCAGTGACTCCCTGTTTTTCTGTAGCAGCAAATACTGATATAATCATGATTCGTGCGTCCAACTGACGTGTGAAACCCGCGTGAAAATCTTCTGCACTCCGCACTAGGAATAAGATTCAACTATTCAGCGCTAATGTCAAGTCAGTCAGAGTTTCAATGTGTTTCAAAAACTAGGCACGTTACGAATAGCATGTCAAACAGATAGCAAACTTTCACCAACAATTCTATTCATCCCATACATCCAGAGTGCATAAGCAACGAAGAACGAACTAAGCAAGAACTTATCACCCAGCAGATATACCGAAGGAAATGGAGATGGATCGGATATACACTGAAGAGATCTTGCAAGTGACATTGTAGTGACCCATTTTATTACTCATAATCGTACTATACTTTCATTGTGTAATTATACTTCGATTTGTTTATTACCCTAAATCTTGCATGTTAACAATTGATACTTTTGTACTCGCTCGATTTTTGAATTTTGATTGCTGCAATAATACACTATCGTATTCCTTCGCAAGTGCCTTTTGAATTACTTTGTGGATGTCGAGTAATCACAACGTTAGCACACAATTATAAACGCGAGGAAGTACTAGAATATACGTGTACTCTGGTTTAGTCAAAATATAGCAGCACAACATCACACACACACCAGAACCTTGAATAAGAGTCGGATGGGAAACGATGATTTGGGTGTACATCTGAGGATTATATGGAGGAGATCGTGTGAACAGGAAAGGAAAGCTTATGAACAGTCGTGGAGCCATCTAGAAAGGACCGAAGAGGACACGATGAAGTGAAGATGTGCTTTTGAAGCCCTAGATTCCATTCGGAGCCCAAGGGAATAATAATAATAATAACAACAATCCGTTGTAATATCACTAAATAGTTTAAAGCACACATAAAGTCGTCTGTTCAAACCAATAAATACACTTACTCTCTATTTTCTGGATCCATACCACACCAAAGTAGATTGCTTGGTTTAATAACTTTTTTCCATAAACTTCGTCTTGATTTTTCCATGAATGTAACTCCTTCATGTGGAATAACTTTAATCTGTACTTCACATTGTTTTGGTAGACCATCTGAATACGATTCAGCTAGACTAAGAATTTTCCCGATTCCTCGACTTGCAGCATTCATATTTTCTAAACGATCAACTTCAACTGAGCCAAGATATAACATATCCATTGCTAAAATATAAGGAGAAATTCAAAATGGAAAGTTTATTCGGCAAATGATGTTAAGATATTCATACACTTGATTCCTTTGGTTAGTTTGAATAAAGCAAGAATGACGGAGAGATATTTGCAGGATATAAAGAGCTGATTTTGTATATAACAGCTGTTCTTCAGCTGCTGATGGTCTAAAAATAATTTCAGATGGAGTATATAATAGGCTTCATTGTGAAATCCGGGGTACAACAGGTCCGATGTGAGGAGAAATACTCGCCAGTGCCAGTCGCGCCCTATCGTGAATTTGCAGAAGTTGGAATTCATGGACTGGCCATTAGATCAAGTCCCAGTGGCTTAATGGTCTACGAGCTCGCTAGCCTCGTGACCGGAAGGTAGTGGGTTCGGACCCTGCTGGTGGGTGCGTACTGCTGAAGAGTCCCAAACTAGGACGAAACGGCTGTTCAGTACTCCCAGGTGGTTTTCCAGTGGTTCTCTAACCGATGTCAGTTCATGATGAAATCCTGTAACCAGTCAAATGAAATCCCTGCAAACTTGGATTTCAATAATTATTTTGACTCAAAAGGCGTATAATAATTCTTAGCACAGTATTGAAACAGAAGGTATGAATATAAGAAAGTTAATGATCTAAAATCCAGAGTTTCCATTATAGAGTACATTTTTTTATGTAGAGCACACGATGATACAGTGTAACGTTTAGAGCAAAGTGTATTGCTGCTCATAGTCACACTACCAAGGTACTACTGACATGACTTTCAAATGTTCAAGGACTGGGTGGGTGCGTACTGATGAAGACTCCGAAACTAGGACGAAACGGCTGTTCAGTACTCCCAGGTGTTCCAATGGTTCTCTAAGCAATGTCAGCTCATGATGAAATCCTGTAACTTTCAAATGTTGTTGATATAATTTCACTATTTCTCATCCTTTGATTTTATTGGTAGTGATATTTTCTACATCTCCAGTATTGGTATTGCGTCATTCTTATTGCACGTGTTCTGTATAGATTTGATGAAGAGAGAGGGAGAGAGAGATTCAATTATCAACCTCTCTTTCCATCTACCTATATTACTTTTTGGAACTGTGGGTCTGTACTAACCTATTAGGTAGTTGTGTGTTAATGCATGCATTGTAATTTCTGAGTTTTTCTCTGAGTTGTTCATTATTGTGGGATTAGTCATTCTGCACTTAGCTAGATTCTTATGTTTCGAGAGTCTGACTACCCCACCCCACCCCCATCTACTGGTCTGACCTATATGTTTGACCTGACAGTCATTGCAAGGTATTTTGTAGATTACATTATGTTGTCTAATTCGGTCAGTAGGGTCTTTTAACCTACAGGGCTTCTCCCTGAGTGAATTGATAGGTTTAAATACCACCATAATTCTTGTTTTATTAAGAATCCTACTTAGAGTTTCAAGTGTCAATAATTCCACTACTGCTTCTCCTTTTCATATGATCTGTCTTGATCTTCCTAATGAATCTTATGCGATGGTTATTTAACACCAACCAACTCTTCTTCTATCTGTTTCATTTCATCATTTTTAGGTCTTCTGATGTACTACTTAGAGTTATTGCTCACTTTGTTAGACACCTAACTAAGCCTTTGATATAAGAATAAAACTTGTGCACTGTGGTAGAGTGTAGTTACATTATGGGTAAATTATATTTTGATAAAGTCTCATAGTGTTATACAGTAATGTTCACTGATGACGTTTCGAGCACAATTTATTGCTCATAATCATATCAAGCCTGCCTTTACAGACAACGACGGATAAGATGAATTAAAGTCTAAATATCTGTTAGCAGAATACGTTGGCTTTTTATAAACGCTAGTTTCCAGTTTACCTTCTTCTGTTCGTTTTATTTCACAGCCTAGCATCATAGATAATTCTCCTTGTTCATTTTCCGGTTCAAATGTAAATTTAAAAAAAATATGATATTTTAATATTATTATAGCTTGATTCCAAACAGTGCTTTGGTGCAACTACGGAGTTTTCGGGATGTTATATCGGTAGCCGAATTTAGCAGGCTGACCATTGATATCAGGGGTGCGTTGGCCGAGGATCGAACCCCGAACCATGGTTGTGCATGGTTGGTGAACGTCCTAACCGTTGTGCCACCGACGCACTGGTGAGTTTGTAAGTGTGAAGAAACTAGAGACAGAGAGATATGTTCTTGTTTTCAACACTGTGAGAGAATGTGTCATCCACATATCTCCACCATCAATGAAACCAGAGTCTATACATGCATAATTCGACGGAAATTTCTACAGGAGAGTTAAAATTATCACATAAACAAACAATTAAGTGTAAATCAGAAGATCAATAATGAGTTCAACTCAGTGAGAGTAGATCAAACAAAGAAAGGAAATCGTGATGCAACAAAATTGTAACACGAGATAAATGCAACACTACATTTCTGTATGCCATAGGTTAAAGATGAATTTGTCTAATGGTAATCACTTCTATGAAATGAAGTGAACACGACACGAAGATGGAACTCGGAGCATAATTCGACCATCGCATAATTTCATCTGATTAAAAGTACACACACACGCACAGTGGTACAGTATGACTAACGGATGACGTTTAGAGCACAGTTTATCGCCCACTATTATTATATTATTTATTATTGTTCCCTTGGGTTCCTAGTAGAACATAGGGCTTCAACTGCACGTCTCCACTTGTTTCTGTCTTCTGCTGTACTTTTCACTTGCATCCATGTTAATCCATACTGTTTCAACTCTTCTTCACACGATCTCCTCCATGTCACCCTTGGACGTCCCATTCGCCGCTTCCCTTTCGGGTTCCACTCGAGCATTGGCCTGACGCGCGATGTCACCCAGCGGCCTCCTCAGCGAGTGTCCAATCCATCTCCACTTTCTCCTGCATATTTGTTGACCGATTGGTTCTTGTTTTGTTCGTTCCCACAGTTTCTTGTTGGTGATTCTTTCCGGCGGCCATCTGATCTTCAGTATAGAGCTAAGACAGTTGTTGATAAAGCTCTGCAACCTGTTGGAAATTATCGCTCACTAATAATTACCATATCAGGGTAATACTCACATGACTTTCAAACGTTGTTAATATTTTACGAGTAATACTATTTTCTACATATCTCTAGTATTGGTCTTGCGTCATTCTTTCTGCACGTGTTCTGCATAGATTTGATGAAGAGAGAGAGAGATTCAGTTATCATCCTCTCTTTCCATCTGCCTATATTACTTTTTAGCACTGTAGGTCTGTTCCACCCTGTTGTGTGTGCGGTTTTGTGTTAGTGCGCGCATTGCATCTGAATGCATGAAACATCAAAGAATAAGAAATCTCTGAATTATGTGAGAAAAAAGTGTTTGAAAGTTATCTGAGTGCCTTGATATAATGATTAGGAGTGAGCGATCAATACTGCTCTAAACGTCATCTGTAACTAACTCTGTGTGCGTTTTATAAAAAATATATTTCGTCTATGATGAAATAGTCAGAGTTTCACCACCACCACCCCCTGTATATTGAATACTTTGAAGGTTTGACTAATTTCGACAAAATACCTCGTATGTCATTCAGGTGCTTAGTGATTGCGCCTGCAAACACTTGCATACTTTAACTATGAAGACTGAATGTGTTAACAGTCAGATGGTTTCTGATGACATCAGTTTTACAAAATGGAGTTGATTAATGTGACTGGTTAATAAAATAAAACTACTATGTGAACACGAAAGTGAAGCTTTTCCTTTTGAATGACAGGAGCTTCGGCTGCTTGAAGACGACGTGTGCAAAATCCTTTTGAGCGACTTGTTCTGACTTGATACATGATTCAAAATGGCCCCCACTACTTTTAGTCTAATAGGAGAGAAAAAACACACACATTATAATATCTGAAATTTTTTCCCCTGTCTTCCTGGGCAGTACCTCTTTTAGTGTTCTGCTTTGTCATATTCAAAGCACTGATCTTTCCTGGCACTCATTCGTAGCGCCGCTACTTCACACTGGAAATCTTCAATTATCTGTTCCTATTTGTTTGATTTCGGTGGCCCTGTTACTGCTAACGTTGTGCGCAATAGCTATCTCACCACCTTTGCCAGCTCACCAATGTCCATGGGTTGTTCAGCGTTAACAAGTTGTAGTTGCTGAGAAATGTGGTCTGGAACACTCTCGATGAACTAAGAAGTCAATAACTGAGACTGCGACTCTTTATCAAGTGTGAAGAGTACGTGACATAGTAGATTCGTTGGCTTCTCCGCCAACACTAATGAGTCTCTGCCAGGTCCCAGCTTTGTGGTGAGTAAATTAGATGTAACGTTATACCGAATGCTGAAAATTCAACCCTGTATCAAAGTACTGTTTTGGAATAAAGCAAACTATTAGTATTATTGTTATTATTATTACCACTAGACAGCACCACATGCTCAATAAATCGTTCTAAACTGCATAATAATCCTGATGATGTCACTTGCAACTGCGTTTTAGAAATTTATATGCCCTTGTGATAGCAAATACATTAAAAGGACAGAAAGAAATGCCTCTCTCCTCTTTTCTGAGCATATACAAATAAAACTTATGCCTAAAGGGATATTCACAGATATTCACAAAACGGAATTATCAGACATCTTGTGGATATGGCACATTTTTGTTAAAATTTAACCAAATCATTAGAAACGTTAAACAATATACAAAAGACAGTAAGTAGTCAAATGTTTTCAATCAAATTTATACATATTTACAGAAAGAGAGTGTGTGATCAATCTCTCATTGCCTTGGTAACGGCATTTTATTTTGCATTGATTAGTCATCTATATTAGTGATTTCAGCTTAGTGAGCAAGTTTCTCAGTCTTATGAACTATATAACCTTATTGAGTTACTATATGAACTTAGAAGCTTACACCTCCCTCTTCCTTTCTAATTTGAAAGTATATTGATTGATGGTAACTCAAACTAAAAATAATATTGCCTAGATTTCAGATCGGTTAATTTTATAACCATTTCTTTACTACGATTCAAAAATGGAAGTATGTTATATTCATCATTATATAATCATTGTAATTTCAGGTAGCTTGCAGCAGCTGATGAGAAGCTGTGAATTAGAATGATGATATATCATTCTATGCTGTAAATCTGGTCTTTCATGCTTTATAGAATACGATTTAAGTAGGAATAGACGTATTTTCGGTAAATTCTCATCAGGTTTTACATTTACAGCATAATGATGAAATATTAGTAGTCATAGGCATTTGAATGATGAATGTGGTTAATACGATAGATATAAAGGATCAGAGTTCAGGGATGTGAATTAATAGATAACAAACGAGGCGATCAAAATAATAATAATAATAAGGATAAATTCAGATAAAGCAATAAGAAGACGTAATTTGTCTGAATCGTGTATTGTGTATTTGCGCACAACACATTTCGAACAATCTGATCACACTCCAGTTACTTATCATACGAATATTCACATATGAAATTAATAAAGAGTTAAGAGGTGAGAAAATAGACTACTTACGTCAAGTTAAAAGGACATATTGAAGGTCAAAATAACAATGAAGATCAATAAACCAAATATCAAAGATAATAGTATATCTACCCTGGCTGCTATCAAAGCAAAGTTTACCAAGGAAGGTGGTTTAGTGTGATGACGAATTGTTTTTGAACGCATAAAGGTGGTTTAAACTTTCTAATTGTTAGCTAGGGCTTCTACAAACTTTAGGATACGCCCCAGACACGTTTTATAGATAGGTTTAAAAGATCTGTTAACGTCAATTTTATGTCCTGTCTCTATAATATGTTTCGCATTAGAGGAGTGAGGTCTCCTGTTCTCACCATTAATGTGTTCTGGGGCATTCTATTTGTTTCTGGAGCCATTTACGAATATGCTCTGAAGCCAGCCCTTACTTGCAGAGATCGATGAGTCCTCCTCCCTATGTATGTGTGTCCACACGTACATTCGAATTGGTAAATACAGTGGGATGTGACATCATTTTTCGCGTGTTTAGGGCGTATCCTAAAGTTTGTGCTAGCCCAAGCTAGCAAATAGGAAGTTTGAACCACCTTTTCGCGTTCATCGAAAACAATTCGTCATCATCACACTAAACCTTCCTTGGTAAACCTTGTTTTGATACCATAGGAAATGTACTTATTGCCTCTGTTATTTGGTTTAGTGGTCTTCATTGTTATTTTGACCTTCAATATGTCCTTTTAATTTAACTTAACCTAAGTCTATTTTCTCACCTCTTAACTCTTTACTAATTTCATATTTATTCCTATGACAAGTAAGTGGAGTGTGATCAGACTGTTCGAAATGTGCTGTACACAAATACATACACGATTCAGACAAATTACATCTTCTTATTGCTTTATCTAAATTCATAAAAGGAACTATTTCTTTTAAGGGATAAATTCATTCAAGTGTCCATATAATCTAAATAATGGTGAGTGTACAGGCAGAATGTTCATCCCAGTAGATGTAGAGGGGAGGATAACTTTTGTCACATAGCGATTAGATAATGTAGTAATAATAATAATAACTATAAATTGTGAAACCAAGATTAAAATGTACAATTCCAGCACAGCATGATATTGATAATACAATTAGCATTACAAATAAAATTGAAATAAAATAAGACAATATTACAGTTAACCGGTGTCATCGGGATGGATAACTATTTTAGTTTAGGGGGAGATTGAACAAACTTTTTCTGAACACAGAGATTGAGTTGAAACGTCGTTATGACAACTGCTTCAGCTAAGCTTAGCAACCGAAGGCGTACCAACCTAGGGAGTTGAGACGGCACCCTGTATAGAATTGTAAGAGCTGAATATTTCATCAGTCTTGTGCCCTGTATCCACTAGGTATGCCGCAGTATGGAACTTCTGGTTGACTTTATGACTCTTCTACCTAACCAAGTTGGACAATGCTCTACAAGGCGACAGTGAGCTTTCCGAGTCGTTCTACCTACATAACTGTCTCCAAATGAACAACAGTTGAATTTATAAATGCACACTGAAGTGGCCAGACTCGACAACGTATCCTTCAACTGCGTTGTAGTGTTAACTGTATTATGAATATCAAGCTGTACTGTAGTTGTACATATTAGTCTTGGTTTCACAATTGATTATCATTATTACCATCATATTATCTAATCGCTATGTGACAATAGTTATTTTCCCCTCTACCCTTCCTAGTAGTATGTACATTCTACCTATACACTCACCGTTGTCTAGATTATATGGACACTAGAATGGATATATCCTTGTTATTATTAGAACAAGACATATAAGCGAACAATATTGTTGTTTTCAATTAGATCTTCTTCAGGCTTCACTCTAATTTACATAGATTTATATATAAACAATTTTAACCAATGACGGTGATTTTGTGGATCAAATAATAATAATATTAATAATAATGTGGTAAATGTTTTGAACGTCATTAATAACGATGATTATAATGATAACAAAATATTGATAATAAGGTTTATGCAGGTGGCGATAAGAAAAACAGAGGCAGTAATATGTGTATATATAAAATATGTATATATAGACAATTCAATAAATAAATTTGGTCAAATCTTAAAAGTTACGTAATACTAAGGGTGAAGTGGACAGATAATCAGACTTTAAATAAATAACATAAAAATACGAAGGAGATGGAAAATAAGAAAGGGTGGGAGGGTTTTGAATAGAATTCACCTAGGCCAAGGGAGAGACAAAGGTAGAACAAACTTCTTTTGTATGCAAAGACTAGGATTGTTCTCTCGAAATGATTCCCATAGCTTCGGCTAGGTGTAAAAGACGGATTCGAATTCCGTTCGAAAGGCTCGAAAGAATGCGATAGATAACTTTGAAGGCACTATTTTTGTCCACTTGGTGACCGCTATCAATCAAATGAGCCAAAATAGAACTTCTTATAGATTTTATTTGACCTTTACCGAACCATGAAGGAAGATGCTCATTAATGCGTTTGTTAAGCTGTCTAGTTGTTCGCCCTATATAGCTCTCTCCACAGGAGCAACTAAATTTATAGATACACATAGATGTGGCACAGCTAGGTAGCTTGTCTTTCACTTGAGCAGTCATAAATGGTCGGCTGGAAGATGACAAACAAAGGGTGGCGGCAGCATAAGTCCGTTTTATCGCTGTCGATAATCTCAGATGTAAGACTTCGCTAGCCACGTCCCCATTAAATTGCAATTTCATGAACAGTTTTTTCTTTTCAACTGTTGTCAGTTTCTTTTTATTGTACTTGGTGTTCATGTGTCTCCTTATTAACTACGTTCAAAACATTTACCACATTATTATTATCATTATTATTTGATCCACAAAATCACCGTCATTGGTTAAAACTTTTTACATATAAATCTATGTAAATTAGAGTAAAGCCTGAAGAAGATCTAATTGAAAACAACAAAATTGTTCGCTTATATGTCTTGTTCTAATATTATTAATAATGGGAATATTTAAAAACTTATTGTTATTATTATGATGACCACCTCGATTGTTGTCGATTAATTCCCAACCCTAAACTCTGATCTTTTATGTCTCTTATTAACCACATTCATCATTCAAATGCCTATGACTACTAATATTTCCTCATTATGCTGTAAATGTAAAACCTGATGAGAATTTACCGAAAAAAACGTCTTTGCTTTCATGTTTTATCAGCAAGAAAAAGGAAACCCATAGAAAAGTTAACCGCACACAGAAACTTACTCATTGTACTGCTAGGCACTGCTGTTGGCAATGGTGTTTCTGAACTATAAGCACCATGATCATTGACAGTCATTCGTTGTTGATTGAATACAGTATGATTACTGACTGTAGGAAGACGTAGGGTGCAAGGCAGGGCACCTTGTCGATTAATATGATAATGAACAAAAGCTGCTAAACTTGGAAAGGTTGGATCACTAGAAAATCCACGCAGATGAACACCATTCCCACGTCCATCATGCATAGGTACAGTACCAATAAGAAAATGACGAACCCATTCTGATTGATTATCATCTAATCGATACACACAAAAAAATCAATAATAATAAGAATTATTATTATCATTATTAATCAATATTTGATTAGATTTTAAATAAAACAGATTATCGTATGAGTGGATTATGCTTCTTTCTGTTTGAAAGTTGGAAGACTTCACCGAAAGGCAAAGATCTACCAGAGATATCAAATTTGCAAGAGAAGAGGAATCCAAGGAGAAAAATTCCATTTTTAGACGTCTTAGTTAAGTGAAAATCTACTCACACACTGATAAAATACTCAGCTACAACCGCAACAACTCAATAAATAACACACAAAAACGGTTGCATAGAAACGTTATTCAAGAGAGTCAGGATTGACTGTAATACTCATGCCTTGAGAAAAATGGGGAAAAATATCTTATGGACGTTTCCCGAAAAAATTCAGTGAATAACCAAGAAACCTCATTAAAGTACATCTACCCTCAACACAGTCAAACAAATCAAAGAAATTCATGGACTGGCCGTTGGATTAGGTCCCAGTGAGTTGCTTAATGGTCTACGAGCTCGCTAGCCTTGTAACCAGAAGGTCCTGGCTTCGAACTCTAGTGGTGAGTGCATACTAATGAAGAGCCTCAAAATAGGACGAAAGCAATGGCTGTTCAGTACTCCATGCTGGTCTTCCAATGGTTCTTTAGTCTATTTCAGCTCATGATGAAATCCTGTAACCAATCATGTTTATTGTAAATAAACGGCTTTTTGATGCATAATAAACGATAGGTTCTGCAATCAAATAGTATGCTTTGAAGGTCATTGGTGCATCCTCACTCCGTGGTTGCAATTCCTTATGTTTGCGAACTTTTATTCAGTTATTATATTTGTCGCATTGATCGATCGCTGGAGAATAATCAGTATCATGTTCTTAGTCTTTATTTAGTGTTGTTGCTAACTAAATCCTACTAATTGAGCCTGCCATATTGTCATCGATATAGGTGACTCGACGTTGGGGTGCACTTTGAATTGAGGTTAGGTGGTAGGAGCCAGTTGATAGGAAGCTCTACCTGACCTAGATTTCGTGTTTGTTGGTACTTGTCAGTAAGGAGTATCTGGAATCTAGGAGCAACTGGTGACTTCTTAGGGATTCGAAACTCTGCATATTTAACAAAGTTAATGTCATTTGAAGATGGTAAGTCATGTAGAAAGAAAGGAAAGAGAAATGGGGATAGTACAGCACCTTGGGGGACACCAGCTGAGACTGGTCTGGATCAAACGGGGTACACCGCTGATGAGATTGTCTCCAAATGAGCAAAACGGTCATCCGGTATTTAAATAATTTCTACCTGGTTGGCTAGCAAGTACTACTGGTTGTTCTGAGTAGTACGCAACGTTTTATCGCTGTCAGTCAGTAGTTTATAGTGTATTTAGTTCACATACCGTCAACCTCTTAAAGTGAATCACAGTCGCATAAGAGTTTTTATGGCTGGATGAACCATCTGTTAATGAAGTCTTTGAACCGTAGGGTGTTTGTTTAAGTTTGATTTTCCATCTCAGAATATGTAATTTGTAAACTGTGAATTCGATTCTATGTAATATCAGTTTCGCATATGCCAGTTTACGCCGTCTCTGACGTAGACGCGATATCCGACTATCGACCAAAGGGCGTGTGTACTGCTCAACAGTCCGCTCCGTCCTCCTTTATGGCTGTGAGACCTGGCCATTGAGAGCAGAAGACATGAAAAGATTAGCTGTCTTCGATCATAGGTGTCTGCGTTCTATCTCCCGTGTGAAGTGGTATAATAAGGTGAGCAATATTGAGGTTAGGCGTCGAGTGATAGGTAAGGCGGGGAAATCAATAGACGAGACTGTGAAATTACATCGACTGAGATGGTTAGGACATGTGCTACGTACGCCTAGTCATCGCCTTCCTCGATGGGCAATGTTAGCTGATGTAGTGTCAGGCTGGAAAAAAGCTAGCGGCGGTCAAACCAAAACATGGCACCAGTCAATGAAATCTGCAACAGTCAGTCTAAGCCTCGTAGGAAGGTGTAGACTTCCTGGTTGGGGTCCTCGGGACGGTAAAAACCAATGGTTGGGAACAATTGGTGATATGGCTCAAAATCGTTCTCAGTGGCGCAGATGCATCCACTCCTTGTGACTTATGATTTCCAATTAAACTTTTGTTCTTCGTTATTACTATTACTTTGTCTCACACCTCTGTTTACTGTCTATACTATGCATTTCATCTACCTTCTTCTCTTGCTTTGTGTGCTACATGGAGTGTGGCGACTTGAACTGCCGCACATATGTGCAAAGTTCAATGTCGAAAACCGACCGAATATCAGTTCGTTGAACTGATCCGATTCCCTGATCCAAGTCAAACAGAGAAAGCATCCCAAATGAGTTTGGTCACAAAAGAACGAAACGGCGGTCGAATGTTACCATCACACGTTGGTCTGGCTAGCAGACATCACTGTTTGATATGAGTGACACCCAACTACTCATATCAAGTAAATGAGTAGTATATGCCGTTATAAAACCATACAGATTACTATTTAAAAATAAAAATGATGTGAACTTTTAAAAAAATAAAAACTCCATGAATAAGTAACCTTTATTAGGTAGCCCTCTTGGTGAACTTGGTGGAATTTTCAGTGCCAGACCAAAACTGTCAGCGTATGTATTACTGTTGCGAATAACAAAACTGCCAGGTTCTTTGTCACGTAGCAATGCGATTACTGAAATACAAGAAAAGCGATTGTGAAATTTAATAATAATAAGACGATAGAAAAGATACTTCTCTTTTGTTTTTGCAAAAAACACAACCGAAGATTTTGGTGAAGATGTGGTCTTAAGGTTTTAAATAATCTAGATGAATATTAAATGGTTGGAGGCAATCGGTGGAAGGAAGTCTTTGACACCACCTAGGTTTTGTGCTAGTTGGCACTCACCAGTCAGTCAGCTAGGTGTATCTAAGGCCTTGAGGGAACTTATGACCCTTCTGAGGTTCGAACCCATGTCACCGAGTACTGCAGTGAGTCAGAGACGTTACCAGTGAGCTAGCTATTCGGTTTCGCAGTTGACCTCCTGTAGGACTGTATTGGATACTTCGTGTGTGCCTAGTCCTATCTTTGGTGCAGACTGAATCCTATCAGTCATGTTTGCAATGTGGCCACCATTCTTGGTGGCTCACCAACATGGTACGAACCCGAATAGCTAGCTCAGTGGTAACATCTATGACTCACTGCAGCACTGGGTGATGCGGGTTCAAATCTCAGAAGGAACATGAGCTGTTCTTTCACGGTTAAAAATACACCTTGCTGACTGGTGAGTGCCAACTAGCACGAAATCTAGGTCAGGCAAGGCTTCCGGTGGCCGATTGCCTTCAACCATCTAATATCAACAATTCATAGTGCACTGTGATGACAAGCCACCTAGTGGCATTGTGTGGCCACATTGCAAACATGACTGATAGAATTCAGTCTGTACCAAAGAAAGGACTAGACACATCGCACTAGTTACTAACTAGTTCCCAGTCAAAAAGGGGCATTCGGTATTGATGGCGAGTAATTACTTCTTTTCACTACACTACCTCCCCTCTCATTAGAACTTCGACAAATCCATTAGTCTCTCCCGCGACTAATGAGGGGTTTATTGACACTGAGCACTTGATGTGTCTGTGAGCAATGTCTTTTGCCTCAACTGATAAGTATCGAAAAACGCGATCTTTAACTCAAAATATCAGATACTTTGATTGGACACTAGTTAGTAGCTAGTGTAATGTGTGTCTAATCCTCTGTTTGGTGCAGACTGAATTCTATCAGTCAGGTTTGCAATGTGGCCACCATGCCACTGGGTGGTTTGCCATCACCTGCACCAAACAGAGGGCTAGACACACATCACACTAGTTACTAGCTAGTGTCCAGTCAAAATTATCTAGAAAAATGCTGAATGTAATCAACCAATCAGTGATAAGAAAGCATAAATTCCACTCCTGGTTGATGACTGGTTAAATTTAAGTTTAATTCTGATAACGTTTTACTGAGTACGCATGTCCTAATAGGCGTGTTACGTAAAAGTCGGTGGTAGAATACTCAGTAATCATTCAGAAGATAGTGGTTCGATTCCTGGCTGACGAACTCCTAAACCTTAGCCTAGAGAAGATGGAAGGTTTGGCATGTAAGACTAGCAAATTCACCTCATTGAAACAACACCGTATCTACTTGAACTTTGAAGCTGAAAATGTGAATTGGAAACATTTATTTCCCGATACGAATTTAAAATAAGCAATAAAGGTTAATAAAGCAGGATGAGTTAATGAATTCATCAAATTTCGGTAGAACTCATCAACTGAATACTCTACATACACGGATATATATACTTTTGAAATTACATTGGGAGATATAGGACTGATAAGTAAACAAACTACATTGAAGTAGTCATGCAGAAAGAAAGGAAGCGCTTGCAAAACAATCCAAACGGTTCCGAAGAAACCTGTCTATATCAGTTTGCCGTTCAAAGGAGATGATGTACAGGAAGTAGTCAAACGAAGACTCGACAAAGCCATCAAGAGAACTTATTATGCTGCAAAACTTGTTTACCTTAACACCAATAAGCGAGTGCTTCAACAATCTGGGAAAGACCAGTCGCCAATCCTAGACATTTCAAACTGCGTATATCAATTTAAGTGTGTTTGTGGAAGCAAATACATAGGTCGTACGGAAAGGCGATTGTCTACTCGCATGATGGAGCATTTGCCAAAATGGTTGAAAATAGCTGAGTGTAAAGTGCCAAAATCCTCAATAACAAAGCATCTTATGGATAACGGACATGATGTCGACGCGGCCAAGTCATTCACTATTGCCAGCAGACAAAGAAACAAGAAGATGCTTGCAATTGCCGAGGAGGCTTGTGCAATTCGAGTTTACAAACCAGGTCTCTGTGTACAAAAGGAGATGGTCGTGACTCTGAATCTACCATGGTAATACGTTTTACTTATAATTCTACCTCTTATTATTATTATTTTTATCATTATTCTCATTATTATTATTCTTGATTCATTTAAAACTATCCTTTATTAGTAGGATTACCTTAACTCACTTCAACACTATTATTATTATTGTTGTTATAACTATTACTATTGATATTACTCTGTTTGCAATTCTTGTTATATTCTCTAATGTCTAATTGTTTATTTAAGTGATGTAATTGAAGCGTAATGCAATTTATCTTAATTTTGATCTCTCATACTCTCTCTCCCCTTATCTATTTGAACATGACCTGGAAAACATTCGCACCTGTCTTTCTGCATGACTAATTCAATGTAGTTTGTTTACTTATCAGTTTTATATCTGCCAATGTAATTTCAAAGATATATATATATATCCGTGTATGTAGAGTATTCAGCTGACGAGTTCTACCGAAATTTGATGAATTCATCAAATCCTGCTTTATTAACCTTTAATGCTTGTTTTGAAAATGTGAAGCCCTATTTTCCACTGGGATAGCAAAGGATTGTTAAAGATTTTGTGCATATATAGACTGTAATGGACAAAAAAGATCCTTGGTTCAACCCCTCTAGTAGTGTCAATGGTGTACAATGATGAACAGTCTTAAACTAAGCGTTAACAATTACCCAGGTCTCCTTGGTTTTTAATGACTCTCTATACTAAATTTGTTTGAAAGTGTTCATGAAAATACCAACAAAACCCGAAAACAGAAATAGAACTTAAAAATGAACTAAAAAGTTACCACCATTGAATATATCTCATCTCAGTTAGTTGACTATCCTCACAAAGGCAGTAGTTGGCCGCATATGTTATAACCTTTCATTAACAATCCACGGAGGTTTAGCCAATAATGCACTGCTTTTTGTATGAGCAACAAATGGTTAGTTCTTAGTATAAATATGTAAGTTGAAATGAATAAATGAATAGTAGATGAACAAGGATTTCGCCACTTTAATCGGTAATAAATTGGTTACATTAGATGTTAACACTTCATCTCCCTCCTAAACAATCATAAAATAAGTTCATTGTGACGTTCAACTCCTTATCTAACTGGTTAATTTATTTTGTATCCTCTTCTATTTACGTTGCAGAACGGACATACCCTACCTTCTTCTTTCTTCCATTCCTTTCGGTTTGGAATGGAACATAAGATTCTAGGCTTTGAAGTAGCCGTGTTGCCTTTTTTATCAGCGGTAGAATGTTCCCCAACCACTCTCCTGGACTGAAGTTCAACTCCCGCCCGACATATTTCTACTCCTCATCTAGTCTACTAGTCTCTGGTAAGCTTAGAAAAGAAAGAAGGCTGCTTGCGAGGCCAACAACAACAACCTCACCTAGTAAAACAATTCTGTTCACAATACAAAGATGAATACCACAGAATAAACATACCATCTGGACGTGAAATCCCTGGTAAATACCAGTATTTTGAAGTATCAACCACTTGACGCATTCCTGCTACATCACCGTCTACACCATCAATAACCACATTCGTACCAGACAAACTTCCAGCTGGAGAGACTAAAATTTAATGTAAAATTATTATTATTATAAGGATATTTCATGAGTCTAATGTGTTTGTCTTCACTGTATTAAAAAAATCTATAAGGTAACTGATTTAAGTAGGTGTTTAGATTACTGTGAAAAATTTTTTTAGTGGTTTTACTGAATAGGTTGTCTAGAATGATAACGATACTTCCACAGTTTAGTTAATCTGCTTCACTGCGTGCAGCACAAATAAGACGATGTGCTCACTGTCATTAATATTTTTCCTTTTGGTTCCGAGTGGAACGTATGGCGACACCAACACATCAGCATATCACTTTGTTTTCCGTAGACGTTTTTAACTGGCCCCACGATTGTGTATATAAGTTTTCGTTTCTTCCAAATACATTCTCCTCCGTACCACTATCTGTGATCTACACCCTACTTGTAGTTTTGCATTCGCCTTCCGCTCGATAGTCTGGAGGGCATAATATCACTCCACGGTCTCCACAGAATGTGTGGGAGATAGGTACCTGGATGGTTCGTCCCCAGAGTTCCTTGTTACTCATTTTTTTCCGGCCATCCGATCTTAGGTATCGAGCGGATAGGCGAAACATTGATAGAAGTCTCCAGAGTGTCGTTGGAAATGCTTTCGGTGACGCGAGCGCTAACTCTCTGAACGATACGGAGACACCGACTTGACGCTGGTGTTGAAGCTCCAAATCTTATTCTTTATTCTGAGGACATCAGATTCCCACACCAGTATCAGAGCAATGAAGACTGAACTTGCTTTTCCAATCCATATTTTTAGTCGTCATATATTTAAACTTAAAAATACAAATAAAGAAAATCTGACTTCAAAAGTAAAGTCTTCGTGTATTTCTGAGTGTGAAATCACCATAAATGAATGTCACCATGGTGACTGCAGTCAACTGTAGCAAAGAGTTAACTTGAAATATATATAGATGAGGTTACAACCAGTTGTCTTCTAAATTCCTCATCAGTACTCATGATTAACTGCTGATACTATCTACTCGACCAGAATTTCAAAAAAAAACAGTCGAATGTTCACTACACACATACGCCTACACTATTCGTTTTCTTTTTTGAGAACCAATTTTTTCACTATTATTGTTTCCTTTAATTCCTAGAGGAACATAGGGCTTCACCCGCAAGTCTCCATTGCGTTCGGTTCTCTGCTAGAGTCTTCACCTGGCTCCAAGTCTGCCCACACGTTTTCATCTCCTCTTCACATCACCTCCTCCAAGTCACCCTTGCACTGACGACCAACTCGCCGCTTCCCTTTCGGCCGGGTTCCACTCGAGCAATGGCTTGTCTAGTGATGTCACTTGATGGTTTCCTCAGAGTATGGCCAGCCAATCCATCCCCATTTCTTCCTGCCTATTTGTCTCACAATCGGTTCCTGGTTGGTTTGCTCCCACAGGTCCCTATTGCTGATCTTTTCTGGCCGGCCATCTGATGTTGAGTACTGAGCGAAGACAACTGTTAATGAAGGTCTGTAGTTTGTTTGAGATGCTCTTTATGACGCGCCAAGTCTCTGATCCGCAATCTTTATGAAATGGATGAATTTATTCATAACAGTGACTAAACGAAGTATACGAAGTATTATAAGTACTCTTCTTGAAAAGAGCTCACCATACCCCTCAAAGAACGATTTTAGCGGTAGTTCGATTGAAAACCATTAGATCGAATTCACAATTTTCCTAATTAACACTGTTCGAGGTGGGGAATTTCACAAGTTTCCTTTGGAAACCTCAGTTATTCAGATCACACTGCAGTATGTGCTATGACAATCAAAGAAGCAAAGATAAATGCTGGATGGCATATACTACTAATTAACTGAGATCAACCAGTAGTGTTTATTAACCAACCAAACCTAGGCAATCTTAATGCCGGAAGACCGTTTCGCTGATTTGGGGCTAAGCTCATCAGCATTGTACCCATTTTGAGTCAGATCAAGGAGCCAGATCACTTCAAACCAACTGATATGTGGCTAACTACATGGGTCAACTGGTAATACGTCAAATCAAGTTTTCACTTTGTAAATTCGATCACTTCGATCCCGCTGGCTGTTATATTTTGCAGTACATTGAAAGTGAAATAGGGATGCCCAGTTGGATACAGACGCGCTGACCACGAATATTGCCACTTGACAGCTCCCTGCTCCCCAAAACCGCACTACTTAACGGACAACACACAATGACGTGAGCTGAAAAGTATATCTACGCAATAATGCATGAGTCAAAATGCCACTAAGGATATGTCAATTTTATCAGTAATCAAGATCAATAAAATAGTGGGCTTTATTTCAAGCGGGCCTAATTCTGATTGGTTTATTTCCAGACTGGTCACATCAACCACCATACTATTAACAAGTGCTACTGGTTGATGTGACCAGTATCCACCTACTCATATCAATCTGCCAGTAGTATAAAACCTTAAAAAAGTTAACCTAATAATACATATAAAAGATACTGTGATGAAGCGAAGTGTTGAGTTCATAACCACGATGCTAGCTTGTATAAATGTAATAATGCTTAAGTATCCCTTTCCGGCTCACAGCGAGTGGTATTTTACATATGCTGTCTCCCAATCGTAAGAGGAAGGCTTGTATTAGATGGGAGTAATTTGCAAAGTATTCCACAAAGTGGAAAAACGGGCGGAATCATCCGAACCTCTAAACCTTCATAGTGTGAAAAGAAAATGACACCAAGCCACTCAGCTTATAGATTAGTTCACGATGGAAATGAATCATATCGTATTCTATGACAGCCATTATGTCAAGCATATGTTTTACTCATGTGTGACTGAAAGTCAGCTTTTATAAGATCAACTACCGACAGCTCCATGGAGTTTTATTTCATACCAGATCTGATTATGCGAAGTCATGACCTATGGAGTACAGCAGGTCAAGTGTGAGGACAGATACTCGACAGCTATAACACTGGCTAGTGCCAGTCGTGCTAAATCGTGAATTGGTAAAAGTCGGAATTCGTGGGCTGGCCGCTGAATCTGGTCTCAATGGCTGAATGGTCTACAAGCTCGCTAGCCTTGTGACCAGTAGGTCCTAAGTTCAAACCCTGGTGGTGGGTATGTGCTGATGAGGAGTCTCAAACTAGGACGAAGAGGCTGTCCAGTACTCCCTAGTAGTGGTTTTCCAGTGGTTCTGTAATGATAATAATAATATCAATGTAATAATTATTAAAAAATTGTCAAAAACTGTGAATGCAAGTGGCGAAAATACTCTTTTTATGAGAAAAAAACGACACCAAAAAGCTGTCGTATAACCTACAGGCAGTTGTAGTCTTCCAGTTATTCTCAGATTGTTGAACGACTGAACGATTACCGATTGGTGTTGCTTCATAATGCGAATTCGGTCCAAATGCTCCACTTCAAAATGTTTAAAAAAGGGGAAATAATGCTCAGTTAGATTAAGGATCAATCAATATTACTTTTATGAAAAATTTTATGGAAAACATTTCTAGAAAACCGAACTTGGGATACAGAGTGGCTGTCTTAATTCTTATAATTTCTGAACCGCCTAAGAACTATACTTCGATAATGGTTAAAAAAAGAGTTCACCGCAGAAATTGTAGGTACTACTGCAATCTTACCTTTTATTCATTTCATCCGTTTACCTCCTCATTGGAACATAAGGCTTCAAGCATGAGGCCTTGAAGTGTCAGTAGCGTTGATGTTCTGTGTTTTACGGGGTGGCGTCGGTAGTCTCAGGCCAAATCTTCTTTTTAACCGAGTTTGATAGTTAGGCGAAGTTAAGGAGTAAGTTGGCCGGGAATCGAATCCCAGACTACATAGATTTTTATAATTATTATTATTGTTCCCTTGGGTTCCTAGTGAAACATACGGCTTCAACTGCACGTCTCCACTTGCTTCTGTCTTCTGCTGTACTTTTCACCTGCATCCACATTAGTCCATACTGTTTCAATTCCTCTTCACACGGTCTCCTCCTTGTCGCCCTTGGACGTCACACTCGTCGCTTCCCTTTCGGGTTCAAATCGAGCTGTGGCCTGACGCGCGATGTCACCCAGTGGCCTTCTCAGCGAATGTCCAATCGATCTCCACTTTGTCCTGCATATTTGTTGGTTGGCGATTGGTTCTTGTTTCGTTTGTTCCCATAGTTTCTTGTTGGTGATTCTTTCCGACGGCCATCTGATCTTGAGTATAGAACGAAGACAGCTGTTGTTGATAAAGGTGTGCAAAAGGCTGTTGGAAATATTATTTGTGACCCGCCAAGTTTCTGATCCGTATGTATAGAAGAACTGACTGACTTGACGTTTGTATTGAAAATCCGAATTTTGTTGTTGATGCAGAGTGACGAAGATTTCTAGATTGGTTTCAGGTTGATGAATGTGTTTCTCGCCTTCCCGATTCTTTATTTGACATCCTCGTGCGTTCCTCCTGTAGTTGAGACAATGCTCCCTAGATAAGTGAAAGAAGTAACCTCTTTCAAATCTCTCCCGTTGATGGTGATTGGTGCTGGATGTTGCTGTTGTTGTTGTTGGTTGGTTATTTTCATAACCTCCGTCTTGTCTATGTTCACCTGGATATGTACGTATATTTGGGGAGAATTCCACCTATGTAGTTTCTATCTGCTATTTCAGTTATCATTTCAAGACATAAATCAATACACTGACATGCAAATAGAAGTTTGAAAGTCACTACTTGAGTATTATTATCGATTTTGTCTAGTGATGAGAAGTTGTTCATTACGTGTTACCAGTTGTTTTGATGTTCTGTTGATTTAAAATGTATTACAATCTTTTATCCTACTGAAAATGCTGTTTGAAAATGTAATTTAACTAAGGTGTGGAGATCATTTGCTTTTGTGATAGATTATGCTTAACTCTCAGTCATTTAAAAAAATTCACATGTATACTGATATTGATGTATCCTTCAAGAAGCATGATCTTCTCTCTGTATGTGTGTGTGTGACCATCAGGTCTATGCCTGATTCATTGCTTCCTGTTGTCTGATGTCACCAGTGAATGTCTCCTGAGGGTAAATCTAAGTCTTCTCGTATTCCTTCTGCATAACTGTTGGTTAATAAGTTTACTGGCTGGCTAGCTGCCAGACTTCCTTGTTGGTTATCCTTATTGGCTGGCTATCTGATTTTCTGAGACGCTCACTAGCGACTTGCCCTATTCAGATAGGTGGTTACCTGGGGTTCTACTGAGAAGTCGTGACCAGTAGGGTGCAGCAGGTCGGGTGTGAGGACAAATACTCGCCGAATACATTGGCTAGTGGTTGCATTACGTCGTGAATTGGCAGAAGTTAGAATTCATGGTCTGGTCACTGGATCTGGTCCCAGTGACTTAATGGTCTACAAGCTCGCTAGCCTTGTAACCAGAAGGTCCTGGGTTCGAAACCCACATTGTGGGTGCATACTGATGAAGAGTCCCAAACTAGGGCGAAACAGCTGTCCAGTACTCCCAGGTTTTCCAATAGTTCTCTAACTAATGTCAGCTCATCGTGAAATCCTGTAACCAATCAAATCCCTACAAACCAACACTTGAATATCTGATTTTCATTATCGGACAAAGTCAGCTGTTGGGAATGCTTTCGGTGTCGGGAAGGCTGAATCACTGAACCATGTGGTTGCACTAACTTGACATGAGTGTTATTCTGTTAAGTGTTGAGGATCTTCAAATTGATCTGAAAGCGATGAACGCTTGTCTTGCCTTCCTGGCTGGCTGGCTGGCCCTGACATCTTCATCTATGCCGCCTTCATTAGCTGAAAAGATGCTACCCAGAGTAAGTGAAACCGGCGACTTCTTTTAGATTTCTTTCATTGTAAGTGACTGGTGTTTGTTGTTAATGTTGTTTTCAGTTAGATATCTTCATCACTTCTATCTTCACTCATGTTCACCTGAAGTCCTGTCTTCACTGCCTTACTATCCTGCCAACTCATTAGCTTTCGAATTTGTATGACACTAGACATAAATCATGTGTGAAGTCCAGATCTTCTAGAATTTTCTTATTTCCCCGGCATATGCCTGCCTTCTCCCTCCTCACGATCAGGGATATCGCCGACAACAGTAGGCAGCAGACAAGTCTCACTCCTTATGGGTAAATTTTATTTTGATAAAGTCTCACAGTTTTATACAGTAATGTTTACTGATGACCACGTTTCGAGCACAATTTATTACTGCTCATAATCATATCAAGGTAATCACACAACTTCCTAAATTCATTTATATAGTTCCGTTGTTTTTCACTTGATTTTCACTTGATTTGATTGGTAGTATTATTTTCCATAGTTCGGGTATGAGTGATGTATCATTCTTATTGCATGTGTTGGGTGTAGATTCGATGAACAAGGATTCAGTAATCAACCTCTCTCTATCTCCACCTACCTAGACTACTTTTTAAAAATATGTGGATGACACTTTCACAGTGTTGAAAACAGAACATATCTCTAGCTTCTTGACACAAATAAACTCACTAGTAGAGGGAATAAAATTCACATTTGAATCGAAAGATGAACAAGGAAAATTAGCTATGTTAGATTGTAAAATAAAACGAATAGAAGAAGGCAAACTACACACTAGTGTTTATAGAAAACCAACGCATTCTAATAGATATTTAGACTTTAATTCATCTCATCCGTTAACTGTTAAGGCAGGCTTAGTTTAGTGTTTAACAAACGGAGCAATGGCACTAAGTAGCACAAAAAAGACCTAATGATGAAATAAAAGAGATAGAAGAGGCGTTGGTGTTAAATAACTATCCTATAAAATTCATTAGGAAGATTGAAAAAGACCAAAAGAAAAAGAATTGTGAAACTAGTAATAATAACATAAATAAGAGAGAATATAAGTCATCTACAGTTATACCATATAAGGAGGGGACATCTGAGACCCTACGTAGGATTCTAAATAAAGCAGGAATTAGGGTGGCATTTAAACCCTTCTACAAACTCACTCAGGTAGGACAAGCTCTATAGGTTAAAGGAGCCTGTTGACCCAATTAGACGAAATAATATAATTTACAAAATACCTAGCAATGACTGTGAGGTCAACTACATAGGTCAAACTAGTAGGTCAGGGGTAGTTAGATTGTCAGAACATAAGAATTTAGCTAAGGTAAGAATGGCTGACCCAGAGGAGATGAGTAATTTAGAAAAAAGCACTCAGCAATTGCAATGCATGCATTAACACACAACCACACAATAGGGTGGGAGAGGGTTAAAATCCTAAAAAGTAATCTAGGTAGGTGGAGAGCGAGAGAGGTTGATTACTGAATCCTTGTTCATCGAATCTACACCCAACACATGCAATAAGAATGATTCATCACTCATACCCGAACTATGGAAAATATTACTACCAATCAAATCAAGTGAAAAACAACGGAACTATATAAATGAATTTAGGAAGTCGTGTGATTACATTGATATGATTATGAGTGGCAATAAATTGTGCTCGAAACGTGGTCATCAGTAAATATTACTGTATAACACTGTGAGACTCTATCAAAATAAAAATTTACCCATAATGGAATTACATTCTACCACAGCGAACAAGTTTTATTCTCATATCAAAGTCTCACTCCTATCTTCTCTTCAAACTCCTCATTCTTAAGGCTGTAGCTAATGTGACTCATACAGTAATGGGTGTATAAAGGATCGCTTAACCATCAAAATATTAATGTATCACAAATAAGTGACATGAATATTTATAAAACTGTTTCTTTTTATAGGGCTTATTAAAATTAACACACACACACATACACAGAGCACAGCACAGCACACAGGACTGCACAGCAGAAACATCATCATCAAGTGTGCCAATTACACACCCTTCAAAAATAAAGAAATACAAAATTCAACACATCACCAGATCATTGAAAAAAAATTATATTTGAGTGAAGAGAGAGCGAGAGAACTAATTTCAAGAATCCTAATGTGTACTATGCTTCACTTGTCATGCATAAATCTTCACTCATCATGTTTTGAGGGAGGTTGGGAGGGAGTGGGCTGAGCGGGAGGAGATGAAGGCTGACATAAATTTATTTTTAAAAAAAAATGTAAATAAGCAAATAAATTTAAGAATTTTTTAATTTCTATTTCTACTACATTTAGTCAATCAGATCCTGTCAGTTAGGGTATGCAAAAGGGGGAGTTGAATGACAAATAGTACCTAGGTTTTAAGTGACATTTATGATTTCACGTTGTTTTGTACTAATAACTAGTTCAATGTGAATAAGTAAGGCTTCTTGACGTTGAAAACAATGAATGTTTTGATTGAAAAACTAAGTAGTGGACTTCATTACCTTGAGATGAAAGTAGATTCATCCACATGAGTATAATAGGTATTTATATGAAGTCAAACCTCTGCCTCATCTTCACTCACTTTAAAAAGGCCTTCCAACAGACAGCGTTCACCGAGAAGTAATTTAGAAACTACTTCAACACTGTGGAGTTTAGTAGCCCAGATCTTTATCAACCTTATTCAGTAGTTAGTTCTATGACAGTGCCATGCGTCAGGCGATCCACGACGGAAACCTCAGTAAGCAGTTCTAAGTGAATACAGGAGTAAGATAAGACTGCCTGCCTATTATCACCCATGATGATATTTCACGATGTGGTGGACTGGATTATGCGTCAGACTGTGAGTACTGTTGACAGACAGATGAGAAGACTCTAGAAGATCTGGATTTCGTAAGGAAGATGATTTATGTTTCGTGTCACAAAAATTCGAAGACTTACAGGTGAAAACCGATAAACTGGCAGAAGAGGCTGGCAGTGAATACAGGGCTCCAGGTGAGCACAGAGGAAACGGAGTTGATAAAGATAACCATTTGTGTTTGTTAATTGCATTTTCGCTTGAGTACCAGGCTTCTAGGAATTCTCTGACATTACTGTCTGGTGTTTCCTCTGTCTAAAATTTCGACATTATCCCAATCAAACTGATGTCCACAATTACCTATATGCATTGATATAAAACAGGAATACATATCATGTCTTTTCACAGCTGATTTGTATTCCTGGATTCTGATTCGAAGGAGACGCCCACTTTGGCAGATGTAATGCCTGTTGCAGTTCATGCAATTTATTTTGTAAATGGTATTAATTTTATCTCCTTTTTCTTTTGGATCTTTCGGTTAGCTTAAATCAAATGAAGTGATTTGACTGGCTTGTGTGCTATATCTATTTCAAACGGTTTCAATATTCTAGCTGTTAGTTATTTCAGAGATATTTTTTATATATGGTCGGATGAATTTTCTTGTGTCCTTTGATGGCGGTTCCTTGTTGCTGTTGTGAATCGATAAAATTAATACTGTTTACAAAGTAAATTGTATGAACTGTAATAGGTATTACATCGGTCAAAGTGGGCGTCTCCTTCGAATCAGAATCCAGGAATACAAATCAGCTGTGAAAAGACATGATATGTATTCCTGTTTTATATCAATGCATATAGGTAATTGTGGACATCAGTTTGATTGGGATAATGTCGAAATTTTAGACAGAGGAAACACCAGACAGTAATGTCAGAGAATTCCTAGAAGCCTGGTATTCAAGTAAATATGCAATTAACAAACACGTTAGCATATAGACCAAATATACCAACTAATAAAAAGTAAATCATATGACGAGAAAGTTTAAAATCCAAGTGAATAAAAATAATCAATGCAGACTTAAAGATGGTTACCGGGAGATGCAACTCTCTCACTCATGGAGAATTTAAATCAGTTCACTTTACGCTAAAAATTGCGCTGAAGATGTTGTCCAGCAGGGGGACGACGAAAGCTCCGCAACTAAACCAATCAGCTCAGAGAACACTACCAATTGCAAATCATCCACGTGAGCTACAAATCTTCTCTATTATTTCAAAAGCAGAATCTATCTCCAAATCTGTCCAACTGTTGACATATAATATCGTATATATTCAGGAGGGGAGCATTACTGTGTTCTGCTGAAAATTCGAACTTACCCTGAAACTGATACTCATCTTACGAGGTGTTCGTTCATTTGTTCAACATTTGTCTATGTGTGTGTCGCCCTTTGATATTTGAAGCATTCAACTATAGATTACTACCTCAAAATTAATGCAAACACATAGGAATACATATGATAGAGGCTGACGAGTCCCAACTGGTGCGAAACATACAACTTGGATTTCTGTCCTAGACACTTATAATTTGGTGTAGCGGTAGAATTACAGAATAAACTGCCTTAAATCATCACAATCATAGTTCTACTTATAGGAATTCTTATCGACATCGAAAGTTGTTTTATCACTGAGAAGATGTCTTCCAACCAGTAAACTTCCAAGTAATGAAAATAGAAAAATAGCCTTTACTTACAGATATGGTGATTGAGGTCCAGATGCGTGTAATTCACGATGATAATTGGTTGTTGCAATAGTACGAAAACCATCTTGTTGATCCCATCCACCAGGAGCATATGATCGATTTGCTGTGTTAATAAATATTATATAATGATATATGATATAATATAAATGCATAAATTATCAGTGATATCATTTACGCTTTAAGAAACTTAGAACAAACGAATATTCTAGGTAAAGAATCTATGTTATTTTTGTTTTTGAATATTTACATTCTGATTAGTTGTACACTACTCACTGTGAATTACATCACTGTGACTGATTGGTCTCAGCCCTCAACTTCCAATCACTGGATAACACATTCTAAGCCGACTACGCCTACCAGGGTCTGGGAAACCAGGGAATATCACCAGACTTTAGTTGTCGAGTAACAGCATCAAAGGTTCAGGAGTAGAATGTTTCCCAGCCATACACGTGACTCAGGTTCAATTCCCAGGCTTCAAACTCCCGAACCTTCCTTAGATGGTAGTTAGCGCTCACAAAAGAGAGTGGACTGGGGGGAGGACTAGCAACTTCACCTTGTGAAAATCAACAAAAGTACTATGGAAACCTCAAAAATTAAAGCTTGAAGTCAGATGATCTATTCAAATCGTAGGGAAATGAAGAAAAAATGCCGCAGAATGTCAATCTTTACAGCTTTGAATTAACCACTGCTGGCACTTTTGTGTTTCCGTCGAATTAGTCGATAACTAAAATGTTTTATATTCACAAACACACCTTATATCTTTTACGATGGTATAAAGGCTAACAGACAGAAAAGTGGGTTGGATACACACGTAAGTTTCGTCCAGGCACCGAAACTCATCAACCGGATACACATTGAATTTCAGTAACACTAAAGTCTTCCCTGTCTAACTATTCTGATGAGTCCATCAAGGTCCCTGAGCAAAACAGTTAGTCATTTGAAGATGATACCTAGAAATATAAAGAAATTGAGTGTTAAGCAGGGACTCATTGGATTAGGCCATCGACATCTCTCTCAATGGATCATAGATTCGAGCCCCAGTCCATCTTCTGAGGTTTAGATAGCCAGGTGGTAAGCACCACTTGCCCTAACAGAAACATAATAGATGAGGCTCATTCCGACCGAAATTTAAATGGTTATTCAGTGTGAGAAAGTACATTCTAAGGAGAAAAATCAAATTGTAGCAACATACTTGTAGGTTGAATTCATAATTTAGCGAATTAATTCGCAATCTGTGTAGCTTAAACCGTTCGAGTGGGGGTGGGGTGGGGTGATATATCATCATAGTTCACTTTGGAAAGTGGAATTATTTAGATCACAAGATCACATGTGATCTGCCTGATAACACCATAAATGGTGGTAATCAAGAAAGCAGGCATATTTGCATAAAACTATATACACACACACTACTATGATGAGATTTTACTTCCTCGAATTGTGTAAATTGCAAATTAAAACAAAAAGCAAAACTTGATTTATGCTGTTACCAGGTTGCTGTGGTAACTAACTAACTTGGCTCTCACTGATGAACTGTCCCCGCCCTCCCCCCTATCAAGCGAAACGACTGCCCGGTATATACACATCACTCCAATCTTGTTGACTGGCTAGTTGGCTAGGAAACATGACTGGTTGAGTAGTGATCAGTTGTATACAACTACTCACCGTAATCAATCAGTAGTATATGTATACTTTTATGCAAATATACTTGTAGGAACATTTGATACAATAATGATCACAATAGTCAAGTATAAGTAGGCACCTCAAAACGCACTGTAACGCTATTAGTTTGCGCTGATCGGTTCGTAACAACATGAAGCACAACATCGATGATTGCATAGATAATCCCATATTACTAATAAAAATTATAAGTAATCATGAAAATAAGAAAAAGACGTAAACAGCAGTATAGAAGAAAATTTTCTTTTCGACGATTCATTTTCATAAGCTGTTGTGCAATCGTAATCATATTTAATAAAAAAATTCATTAAACCAGTTGGCTACCAGTAAAATTTATTCTCGAAAAGGTATTACGTAATGTAAGGTGTAGTCTAGAAGAGGTGACTAATTGTAAATTAGAAAAAGGTGGTAGAAGTTGGCATGACGTAATAAGTGTAAGGAAATGACTAATCAGCAGTCAAGCAGCCGCCTTACGCACCACATTCTCCAGCAGGCAATTTATCCAGTCTAATGTTAAGGACAAGATACCGCTTTTGGCCACTACCTGTTCGTGTGTAGTAAAGTACATCGGTCGTAAACAACGTTAAGTCCACAAACGTATTCTGGAACACTGTCCATCTTGGAGAAAAGAAGAATAGTAGCAGCTCCATCCTCGAACACCTTGTCAACTCTGGACATCGAGTACCCTCATCTACACGAATGCTTCACAGCGCTGCCCAGAGTCCCTCAATATCGTACAAAGGGAGTTCTAATACACCATCTGTTCATAGCTGAATCATTGGCTATTCGGAATCTGAAACTGGACCTCTGCATTCAAAAACAACACATACATTCACTCGTCCTACTGTGGCCAGAGTAACGTTCTCACTATAATTTTGCTTCATTTTATTATACAAGTTTACCATTATTACTATTATTCTCATTATCCATATTTTATTATCCCTCTATTACTATTTATTAATAACATTGCATTTTCATGCAGAATTTATAAAAACATTTTTCGTCTTTCCACTAGTTCTTGTTCAGTCTATACAACCATACTGATTAGTCATTTTCTCATACTTATTACGTCATCCCAGCTTCTCTCCACTTCTATAATTTTCAGTTGTTCACCTCTTCTAGGCCCCACCTTACATTATGTAATACTTTTTTGAGGACACATTTTATCAGTATCTTATTGAAAAATGACCAATGAAATTTTCCAAAAGAATGGTTATTGAAAAAAGAATATTCCCATTTTCGGTAACCTGCTCTTCATTAGGCTCTACAGTTATATATACATAATGGTGAGCGAATGAATTAGTGTTATGAACAACATTAATGCTGTTGAAATAACGTCGAATCAATGATAATAATAATATCAATGGATTACACTTCGATAGCATCAATATAACAATACACTGAATGAATATCAGAGAAATTAGGAAACATAACAATACAGATTCATGAATTTGTAGTCTCCACTGAAGGTCAGGGCAGTAGTAGTGCCTAGACTTGTTTCTTCTGTACTCAGACCACCGGTTGTCTCAGGCAAATGGCAATAGCCTCAGCTGTTTGGAGTATTCGGTACCTGGACGCTTTTGGCAAATTATTTGGCACCCGGTAGATGATTATGGAGAAGGATTCTTTAATATTAGCTTTATGTCCAGTTTGGACCAGGTATTCTAATATCGAGCTATTGATGTTTCTCACTAACCCCTTATTTCGCCACACTGGTAGATGTTCCCTAGAGAGCAAGAAAATTCAAGTGCCCAGAGCGAGGGCCAATGTAACTCGCTCCACAAGCGCAGTTGAATTGGTGCTTCATCTTTCAGTTGAGAAATCGTCACTGATTGTGTAGAAAATAAGACTTGGAATTCGCCAGCATTAAAAGTTCTTTGAACTGATTTTCTTAACTTCTTCTTAGTTATTTCGCTAGAAATATCGCCCTTGAATAGCAGTCGTATTTATAAGGCTTCTTGTTTATGGATAGTGAATAGTCCTTTTCAACTTTTCTAGTCATATATTCCCTGATGAATTTGTCTGATTAGATATTTTCAATCAAGGTATCATATACAATCCTTAGTTCATATTCAGTTACGTCTTCTGTGCACATAGCTCTAACCCTGTGAATGAGTGTCCTTACTAAATTTCGTTTATATATATACTCAATGTCAGAAAAATTAGGAAAGATAATAATACAAAATTCATGAAGTTATAGTCTCCACGACTGCAATTCAAAGATGACGCGCCTAGGGAAATAATTGCAAACAAGTTGAAAAAATCCGTTCAAAAAACTTTTAATGCTGACAAACTACAAGTCATGTTTTCTACACGACGGATGGTGATTCCTCGATTGAAAGATACAGTACCTAGACTAGCTAGCCACTTCTAATAGTATGTACCAATTCAACTGCGCTTGTGGTGGAGCGAGTTATTTTGGCCGTTGATCAAAGGACTTGATTTTTCAAGTATTGGTTATTGTAAGGACTTAGTTTGATTGGATGGAGGATTTCATAATGAGCTGACATCAGTTAGAGAACTATTGGAAAAACATCTGGGAGTTTTCGAAAGCTGTTTCCATTGTCCAAGTTCGGGACTCTTCATCAGTACGCAGATTGGAGGTGAGGCAGTAACTCATCGAAGAAGACATTGCGAAGTGGTCGTTCTATGCCCTGAATTGGTAGAAGTTGGAATTCATGGGCTAGCGATTGGATCGGGTACCAGTGAGTGGCTTAATGGTCTACGAGCTCGCTAGCCTTGTAACCAGAAGGTCCTGGGTTTGAAACATGGTAACGGGTGTGTACTGATGAATAGTCACAAACTAGGCTGGCGAAACAGCTGTGGCTGGTTTTCCAATCGTCCTCTAACCGATGTCAGCTCATAGTGAAATTCTCTAACTTGATTTTTCTTGCTCCCCAGGGAACGTCTACCTGTATAGTTAAATAAAGGTGTAGTAAAAACCATAAACAGTTCGATACAATAATACCTGGTCCAAAATGGCCACAAAGTAGACTAGCATTGAAGAATCCTTCCCCATCATCCATGGGGTACCAAATAAATTATCAGAAACATCTAGGTATGGCATACTCCAAACTGCTGAGACTGTTACCATTTGCCTGAGACAACCAGTGCTTTGTATACAGAAGAAGCAAGTTCAGTTAGCCACTACTACTGCCCTGGATGGCCTTCAATGGGGACTATAAATTCATGAATTTTGTATTATTATTATTATCTTTCCTAATTTCTCTGATATTCAGTGTGTAGTGTTATGTTGATGCTATCGAAGTGTAATCCATTGATATTATTATTATTGATTCGATGTTATTTAAACAGCATTAATGTTGTTAGTAATAACACTAATTCATCCATTCACTATACTGTATATACAACTGTAGAGCCTGATGGTGGAGGGGTTATCGAAAAGAGTATTCTTTGTTCAGTATC